ATTTGAATTTTTCATTGATACAACATGGCACTGAGTTGTTAGAAAAGAAATGTGTAGAGACGTTATTGCTTGATGACGTCAGGAACCGATTAATCGACTTTTTGAACCGGTTCAATGAGCCGATCTGTCCGAAAAGAACCGGTTCGCAGAAATGAATCGGACTTCGCATCACTAGTGGGCACTCATGCAATGTAATCAATGACGTACATCCGAGTAAATGAGACGAAGGGCAGTTTACGAGTGAAGGGCATAAAAAAATGAACTGGAACGCAGCCAGAGAGTGTGTGGGCTATTCTTATAGTCCTACTAATGTGAGACAGCTGTGAACTGATGATGAAATCTGATGAGAGACAGGTGATGCACTTGATAAGTCCGGGCAAAGGACTATGGGAAATGGAATCCTGAGTGAATGGCAAGGTACAGAATGGAGTGCCCTCTAGAGGAGCTCATGGGCACTCCAGCTGGAGATCGTGACAGTGCGATATAAAGTCGCAAACACACAAAAAAAATTCGCAGTTACAAGAAATAGAGTTGCAATTGTAAGATATAAAAATATCACTGGGAGAGTAATAAATATTTAAAAAATAAAGTTGCAATGGAACATGAATTCACAATTAAGAGAAATATTTGCAATTGTGAAAAAACACATTGTGCAATATATTGTAATGTAAAATGATATTGTGAGATATAAAGTCTGGACTGTGAAATAAATCACGATTATGAAAAATTAAGTCACTATTAAAAGAGAGTTGCAACTGTCAGATATAGTTGCATTTGTCAGATATAAAGTCACCTTTCTATTTATTTTTTTACACTGAGACAGAAACAGTCTTCCATGTTTCAATAATTTCATATTTAAAATATTAATTTTATTTATACAATTGTAATTTCTGAGTAAATGCATTTATGCCACCTCTGTGCATCATTAAACAGTTTGTGTAAATAAATCTTAAACTATGTCACAAATCACTAAACGCACTGCTACTGTAGGAAAGATATGAAGCAATGATATTCTGTAAATAGAGCACTTAGTCTTTCATTTTCAAAACAGAAAAGCTTTCTTATGATATAAAATGCACAGTTTCTCAAAGTGCACCAATTTCCTCCTACTTAGTCAATGAGAGATTGTTCTTTCCTTTGAGTATATGAGATAATTCCAAAGGTCACAAGTTAAATCACTATGTCTATCTTGGTTAAGTCTTTTTTATTACATAATTGAGTTAGTTAATTAAATCTTGAAGGCCTGTCAAGCTCTGCATCCCACATGTATGTATGGTTCTGTACAAACCACAGTGAGATTAAGAACTTCTGGGGCACCTGAGGTGCACTGAAAACGTGTACTGTAATCTAAATTTAAATGAGAAACTTCAACCAGAAAAATAGCTGCTGATAAGGAAAAACTATAGTTGTAACAAACAATCCCCACTTGAAATATCACCTGTAAAAATGCACCCTGGCCTGAATCCATTTAGGTTCGACATCTTGTAGTTCCTGAGAAAAAATAGATAAATAAATAAATTAACTAAAGGGAGTGACAAAAATCAATATCCAGTTCTTTCCCCCCTGCATAAAGTTGTAAGTAATTCACTCACACACTTATAATTATGTGTCTTTCCTTGTCTGTTACTCGTACAGTGACTGAATTCAATAAAACTCACTTGAGGGGTGCCTATCGATTCTCTGTGACTTACACCTTTGCTTTTGTTCCTGGTGACACCTTCAGTACAAGTGTAATGCAGGTGAAATTGATTTATCTTGAAGTTGCCTTTGAAGCAACTAAACAACCGATGGTTTGGTGGGCAGCATGTTAAATAATGAATTGAGTTGAAACTCTGTTATTAAATGAATTTATCTTAGATTAGCTTAAAGCTTCTGCAAAGAAAAACAGCCCATTACATAATAGAAAACAAGTCACCCAGCAACCACCCCAACACTGAAAATAAAACATTTATTTATAGTAAATTATAATTAATCTGCGATCATTCTTTTTCTAGGTATAACATATTTTGCTCTATTTTAAGTTCTCTCTATCCGTGAGTCTCTTTCTGGTTCTTAGTTTCATTTTTTAGTGACGGGTGGGTCAGTCCTTTAATCCATTTATTTATTTAGCAAGAATCCATTAAATTGATTAAATGACAGTAAACACTTTTTCATAGTTTCCATACAAATTTTAGACAGCGCAACTGTTTTCAACATTGATAATAATAAGAAATGCACCAAATCAACATATTAGACCATAGCCGTGGGAACATATTTTATCTGGGGGGTGCTGGGGGCGGGGCTTGATGTTGCAGGGCGGGGCCATGGTGTTTTTTTTTTGACAAATAAGTCATGCAGGTTCGACGTGAGGATGAATAACTACAGTACAGATGAACATTTTCGCTAAAATGTGATGCAGGATTCAAAACCAACCACAAGATGGCAGTGGATGAACACTCAATCACTTCTGTTCATAAAGCAACAAACATATTAGTAGCCGTGGGAACATATTTTATCTGGGGGGTGCTAGGGGCGGGGCTTGATGTTGCAGGGCGGGGCCATGGTGTTTTTTTTTTGACAAAATCCTAATATTAAACAGCCCAAACTCAAAACTAAAATTTACATCCAAATGAAGACAGAGTTATATGCGAACCAATATATATTTGTGCTTTTGTGATTTTAGTTCAAAAAATTTTTCTTTAATATTTCTATTATTTAAGGGGATTTTACTAAATATTATCAACGCTGATGAGCAAAAGTTTTGGTCAGTGCACTTTGGCGAATTCTCTCAGAAACAATTGTGCAGATGTACATGCGATGTAAATAAGAGACTCATCATACACTGCAGACAACATCACTGATTATAACTTATAGCTTTTTTAGAGTGCTTAAGTTACACTCATGCTAGATTGAATTCAGTGATATTCTTTGATAATGTAAATGTTCTTTGCTCGCTGTATAATTTGTTCGTTGTTTGAATAATCGAGGATCATGCGGCGTTATAAATGTCTTTTTATTAAACGTGATCAGGTTAAATAAAAATTCAGTCTTATTGAAATATTATTGTCATTATATGGTAGCCTACTTGCCTAAAATGTTATGATGTGCGTAGTTAATAGATTACAGTAGCGCGTTTGACCAGAGACTAGAGCGCAATTAAAGAGCTGTGCTTATGTGACTGCCGGGGGCCGTCTTGAGAAGCGAGAAAATGGCTCATAAAAAGGACGAGGACTTGAATGGTTTTTACAAGTCGGAATGTAAATTACGGTAATATCGCGTGAACATTTCACATGAAATTCTGTCTGTGTGAGGGGGAGATGTAGGGACGCCCAAGAAAATTACAACCGGTGTAGGCTATATATTTCTGGTCAGTTTAATAAATAATTAATCACAAAACTATCACAAAAATTACGTATCTTGGGGATGATCAAGGGGCACAAGAGAAAATGTCAGAACCGGCCCTGCGGCAGGGGGTGCTGCACCCCTAGTTCCCACGGCCATGTATTAGACCGATTTCTGTAGGATAATGTGACTCTGAAGACTGGAGTAATGAGGCTGAAAATTCAGCTTTGCCATCACAGGAATAAATTGCATTCTGAAATACATTCAAATAAAAAAAAAGTTATTTTTATATATATTTTTAAATTGCAATAACATTTCACGATATTACTGCTTTGCTTTTACTTGAATTTTGATCAAATAAATTAAGCCTTGGTGAGTATAAGCAACCCGATCTCACGACAATTCGTACATATTTTACGAAGTGGCGAATTTGTACGAGCAAGATTGTACGAATTCGTACGTTTTGTGAAAAATCGTATGTATTTTACAAGGTGGCAAATTCGTCAAGTAGATATAACTGCAGACCGGAGATCTCCAAAATGGGGCGTGAACTCCAAAAGTGGGCAGAACCTCCAAAATGGGGCGGGGTCTCCTCGCGCAAAGACTTTCACCATTGGCTCTGGCTCCAGCCATTTGATATTGACTTACATTTAAAAATAAAACTTTATAAATTAAACATTGTTTCTAGTTCATCTAAAATAAAATATGCTATATAAGTAAATGTGAGAGCAGAGCCCAAAGCTCGTAGCCAGTGGTGTTCGGACTGGAGTTTGAGCCTCTGCTTAATGATATAAACAGGAATCACCCACGAGCTCTCCCGCGAGCCGTCCCAGCGCAGGGGAAAGATTTTACTCTATCGCTTTGTTCTAAGCAACGGGGGCGTCTCGGGGCACGAAATTTGCAGGGTAGGAGGGGGTAGCGACGCTGGGTGTAACTAAAAAGGTGCCATTGTCTGGTGAGGTCCGGTTGGGGAGTTACGGAACGATCTCATATCGCATAATCAGGTGTGGGGTAGGTTTAGGGGTTAGCATTTTTGTAGCATATTTCACTGGTTAAGGTTAGGGTCAGGTGTGGGGTAGGTTTAGGGGTTAGCATTTTTTGTAGCATAATGTAGGAAATCAACACTTTAATTGACACAACCAATAAAATCTTTAGAATCAGCTGTGGGGTGGAGTTTGCACTGAAGTGGATTGGGGGAAAAAGTGCGCATGCGTGTCATGTGCCTGTCTGTCAATGGGAGGAAGCCACGCCCTATTTTGGAGCTCCCACCCCGTTTTGGAGTTCCCCCTTCTCAAATTCGTAGGAATTCGTATGAATGACCACCCCTAACCCCGCCCCTAAACCTACCCCTCACAGAAAACGTACGAATTCGTATGACCTTACTCATACGATTTTTTGAATTAGCCACCTCTTAAAAATTTTTAATCATAGTGTATACACAACATTGAAGTAATCAAGGTCATTTACAGTTGGTTATTTTTAAAAGTATTAGATTTGAGTCACAAAGACGGCTACTGATGTTGCAATTGATTAATCAGAAGAATGCCAGAAATACTTTGTTATTATTAATATGTTGAACTAACATATACACATACTGTTGTGGTAAGATTTACCACATCCAGGAATTGTAACCTATTTTCTCTCTCACACCATCATCTCTGTCTCTACCCTCTCTACAGACTGCACTTCAGCCGTTAACACACTGCGTGATGAAGACTCCACTGTGGACACTACTGTTGCTTGGACTGTGTAACCCAGCATGGTGTGACTGCCAGAAGGATTGCCTCTTCTGCAGCCAAAAACTGCCTAATGAATATGCCTTCAACAACTTGGTAATTCCCTACAGTGTCAATCACTTCACGTAGGAAAGAATATCACAAATGAGATCTCTTACTATCTCTTCTATACAGCAGTGAGTTTAAATGGAGTGCAACTGGAAACTTTTGCGTAGCCTCTCAAATTTTTTTCCCCTGAAAAAAATACCCCAATAATCTCTCACATCTTGTCTAGAGTTTCTGAAGAGATCCCAACAACATCACAGATTGTGCTCAGATTGTGCCAACGATCAGAGATTTAACATGAGCTCAAATATTTTTATTAAATTCTCAAACAGAATATACTGGTTATGCCCACCAATATTAATTTTATAGCTTTATGTTCTGATATACATCAATAACTATATAATTTCAGTTTTTTCTTTCAAAGGAGAAACGTACAAAGTTGATAAAGTCACAGGCAAGCAGCACTTTCATTTTCCTCAGAAAATGTACAAGTCTAGTTTTATATGTTACTCTGCACAGATCTTCTACAGCTTCCTGAATTTTATTTCATTTTCTGTACTGCCCAAGACCTATGGCCTCAATTGTATCGAATTTCCCTGAGACACGCCATTAGTTGACATAATTATAATGATCATAACAGTGGAATGTGGTTGTGCTCTGCGGCTGATTATAGCTCCGAGGAGGAGGACATACTCTCTGATTCATGTCAATAACACGCATTTGAGGGGGAAGAAGTGCTAATTTGGTTAAAGATGGCCTTTTGACTCAAAACAGCTGGGGTGATTCAGTTATCTTGTTGTGTAATTAAGTAGAAACACAATAACAACATTCGGCAAGGCTGCTTACGGAAACTGATGGGCCTGAGTAGCCCTCCATAGCGCAGACTCTCCCTGAGGTGTTCTTATCATTTTTCAGCATGAATGAACAGATATATCCTCTTCTGATAACTAACCAACTCCCTCGAAACTAAACTTTTAATTTAAAAGGGTTAATTTATTCCACCGGATAACAACTCGCGCTCCTTCCATTTTAACGCGCGATGGTCATGAAGTTCACGGAAGTAAGCCTATGGGCAAAACTTCCGGTTGATTAGTTGATTGTTGTTCCAAACAGCGATTAAAAGTGTGACATTGCTTTCATACAGTGTGGTGAAATGTGAACAGTTTATTGTGATAGGCTGTTCGGTGTCGGGGTCCAGGGTTGCTAGGCAACGGAGGCGGGGCCAGTGTGTGCAGCCTGCCGATGAAGACCGAGCTAGAATGTTCTATGAGCGTGCATGTTAATAAAGTTAAGACTGATTTCACCGAGTGGTATCATGACATACAGTTAAATAAACCGTTAAAAATAATGTAATATTGGGTAACTTACATTTTACATACATTATTTCCAGTTACAGTTGTCTAGTTTTCTTCCTCCAAAGAAAATAATTCCACAGAACACGAAGCCAAACAAGATCGACCGTTGCCATTACCTGTGCTTCCTTATTGGTCGAATCAGTGTTATGAACGAATCGAGTCGATGATTCAACGATTCACTTGTAACGTGCAAAACGAGTCCTTCAAAAAGTCTGGCAATACGCTTGGCCAATTAAAGTAACAAAACTGCCGTATTATTACAATTAATGTTACTGCTGTATAATTACTTACTAAATCAATTTTACCTCAGTAATGTACTATATTTCTTATTGAGACAAAAAGGGGTGACTTAATTTAATCAATCAGTAGGCCTAGCCTGTAATGTCATTCAAACTTGTTTTAAAAAACAAAAGTGGTTGTAGGGAGATGTTGAAAATTATTTTATGGACAAAAAAAATTGTGAATAATATTTTTAAAGAGATTTGTAGACAAAAATTTGTAGTAAGAAAATAAATAGGGACAATTCTGATGTCATAAAGCTTACTTTGCTATACACTGCTAAAACCAGCCTAAGCTGGTCTGTTGACTGGTTTTACAAGGGTTTGGGGAACTTTTCAACAAGTTAGACTGGGAAAACAGCTGCCTGACCAGCTAAACCTATCTGAACACCCGTTTGTCTTAGCAGAGAAACCAGCTTAAAGCAGCTATGGCCAGATGAGTTATAAATGATTGTTGAAAATAAAGTTGCCTACCAGACAGGTGCACCTTTATGTTTCTATAAGTGTGGCTGTATTAAAGCATAATGATGTTGACAGTGTAATGTGTTTGTGTGTGTCTTTGTTCAGGTGTGTCTGGTGGAGTGTCATGGTAAACTTTCTCCAGGCTACACCTGGGAGATGTGTCTCAGGACCATTGGGGAGCAAAACCCAAAAGCCTTGCTATCGGTTGGCAATGGCATGCTGACAAGAGCAGAAGAGGAAGCGGACACCTCTCTGCCTGTGGACCAGGATGATGGCCAGTATTCTGAAACCCTCCAGAGGTTCGACCATATAACACGAGCCTTGGGAACGGATGATCAGGACCAAGATATGCAGCTCAGTAAAAAATACAAGTTCCTGCAAGTACAGTCAGCACAAGAATCTGAGGAAGAGCGAGATGGAGATAACGAGATAGAAGGCGATGAGGAAGAGGCTGCCGTCCACCTAATCAAACGCTTTGGAGGCTTCCTCAAAAACAAGTATGGCTACAGGAAGTTCATAGATCCTGGAAGGTCTTTGCAAAAGAGATATGGGGGTTTCATAGGCGTCCGCAAATCTGCCCGTAAGTGGAACAACCAGAAGCGTTTTAGTGAGTTCCTCAAGCAGTATTTGGGCATGAGTACTCGAGCTAGCGAGTTTAATAGTATGTCTGCTGATGTCACCCAACAGAATGAGTAAGCTTTGTCCTTTGAAGCGAATACTTACCCAGCAAACCATTCGTTAAGCTCATTCGAAAGATATCATGCACCGTTCTCCTCAAACACAAAAAGCTCTCATAGTGCCACAGGGTTAGATGTGGATTTACTCACTGACTGAAGCATCTAATCTGTGTCAAAGAAAGTTTACATATATTGGCTTGAAGTTTGAAGAAAACTCTTCAGATTCAATTTGAGACATCTATAGATCGCATTATTGTATATTATGGCCCCTCTAGTTTAGTTCATTATGCAAAGACCATTTTGAAAACGTTACCGGTTCCAAATTCATCTCCTTTTCGACACTGCCACCTATTGGCCAATGAGAGTTCCCATAATGAAATCTCCATGAAAATGCTTGAAATTGAGGTGAAATATCATATAGAGAGGTAATTACTTGGCAAAATAGAATTATTAAAGTAATAGTTCACCAAAAATGAAACATTTGTCATAACTCACGCACATTTTCAGCTCCAAATGGAACATAAATAAGCATTACAGTCTAATGAAAGCATGAGAAACAGACTAAAATTTAGGTTTTTAATTTAAATCTTAACCTGTGCCATCGAACCTAATTTTTGCTTCCAAATCTCGTATGCATGCATTAAAACCTGCTACACTGCAATTCTGTCATGTGTCATGCGCTAATCAATTATGTTTTGGAAGCAGTAACAATCTCAAATCTATTATATGGCTTTAGAAGACTTGGAATATAGTGCGCAAGTCATATGGACTATTCTTTATGCCACTTTTTGGAGCATAATGGGCCATAATTCCCAATCTTCTAACGGTGAATGGAAAATACAACCCAATCTCACAGGAAAACATAATTTTATCAAGTGGCAATTTTGTACACAGTAAATGTAAATTTCTTAAGAAAAAATAAGCATAAAGATCCACCCCTAAACATAACCATCACTGGAGCATAAGCAGATTGTACAAAAACGTGTGAATGAGATTGTACAAATTCATACAAATTAGCCACCAATTCACCAACACCTATTTATTGTCATGAGATTATGTTGGGAAAAGGTTAGCTTTAACAATCTGCTTAATATCTCCTTTTGTTTTAAGGATGAAATTAAAAACAAATGGGGTCAGAATGATATGGGCAGGAGTAATTGATAGAATTTGCATTTTTGGGTGAACTGTTCCTTTAAGGGGATTAAGGAAAGCTAATCTGTTTATGGTCTCTCCCAAAAAATAAATAAAGCCAGATTTTGCATAAACCATTCCAGCAAAGACTCATCACTGTAATATTCCTATACAAAAATAACAAATTCTGTCACGCACATGCACACAGAGTTTGCATCCTCATCTAACAGTGGGAAACCAAAAGCTTTAATTTTATTTTTTTGAAACTGACAAAGTTGACTTGTATTTGTGCAGATGAAATTATGTATTTATGCAAACATTGCTGAGTCATGCTTTTCCCTTTATTCTAATGATAAAAATCATGATGTTGACTAAATAAACTGTACATAGTAACTGAACTATGTCAATAAAATAGTTTACTATTTTCTGTGGCTTGTCATGCAGCAAATGATTGTGTGTCCTGAAGTATTTTGTTCGTCATTTGTTCATTTGGATTTCAAACTTGTAATATTTCCCACCAGTTCCTCTTACTGCATACTGAAAGCACTCCACCGTGTCATCCTCAAAAGGACAAATATTAAAAACACTTTACGGTCGTACTTGTTTGCACAAAAGTTTATTTAAAAAAAAAAAAGGCCTGAAGCAACATAAGATTCATGAAAAGAAATTATAGTTTTATCTTGAACAGATCTCAGACAGCTCTTGACTTTTCATAAAAGAAAATACTTTGGAAGTACTTTACAAAAATGTACAAAAAGATTGTTTTCCATGAGGCTCATCGAGTGTCTCTCAGACTAGGATGTCCTTAAACAGCTATGACCATGACTGTCGGAAATGCGTAAAGACTTACAGAGATCTTCAGGGTAAGGTACATTCAGATTTATGTTGTCAAAGCATCAAGCTTTACAAAAGATGTTGAGCTACACATAAAAAATGTGAAGAAATAGAAGTGTTCTACAAAGAAAATATTTGGACCCAGTATTAAAAGAATGAACCAATCAAACAGTTGGTTACAAGTTTCTCATAAATGGTCAACAGATTCATTTCACATTATTTTGCAGAGATGTACATGATGTATTATCTTGCGGAGATACTCTTTGGCAAGAACACAATCCAAACAGATGGACAGCCAGTGAGCAGACTGGGGCAAAAGCGCAAAAGTAAACGAATAACAGTATCAGATCATGCATGTTTACACAGATAATTCCTTAATATTGATGTGACAGAAAAGTGAATCATCTCATTCCACAGAAGTATAACGTGTGACACAGAAATACACTGATAATGACATGACATAAGATTGAACACATCGCAGATATCAAAATCGTAATACAAAATCTTTTTCTTCCTTTTTCCTTTTCAAAAGTTTGTTTTACAAAATTTCGCACTGGAAATCGAAGAAAAAAAACTGCTTCTCAGCAGGTAAACATGGCATACATGAACATAAACGTTATAATGTTATTAAAACATTTATTCCGCTTTCTTGTTTATCTACAATTAACCATAAGCTGCCAATTATGCCCCTGAAAGCAATGGACCACGGTAAAGACCTCCTGTCTCATATTAGCAATTAAGTTGGAATAAGTAAACTTTCCATCCATGTCTGATGACGACAATGTTTACACCACATTAAACAAAAAGTATATGGCTGCTTGCTGCTTGTAAAAGAACGTCAGACTTCATCAGTTCTTGATTTAAGATGCGGAAAGACTGCAGGAGTTTGTGGGGCAGAGGCTGTCCTTTTTGCTTTATCATTCTTCCAGCACAAACATGGTTCCTTAGCACATTTTAAAAAACACGTAATCGCGATAAAAAGTAGAAAAAGTCATAAAGGTGCTCTTTTGGTTTCTTCCAACCATAGTTCCAGGTAAGACCTCTTGCGGGTCTCTGTAAGGTTAGTGTTCTATTTCCAGCAATCTAAAGGAGGATTCAGTCAAGGAATCTCTGACAGGCCTTTTTCCAGCGGCAGGCAGTGCACCACTGGTCTCGGTGTTCAATGCCGTATACCTTTCGGCATTTCTTGGCTTCGCCCCGAATCCTCCTATTAATATGATAGAAATTCAGAGTTAAATTTGACATCTAATTTCAATACAAAATAGCAACTGACAACATTTTAAAGGTGGACTATGTATTTCACACTACTGTTCATAAGTTTGGCGCCAGTATGATTTTTAAAAAGAAATTATTACTTTTATTCAGCAAGGATGCATTATATTTAATCAAAATTGTCAGTGAAGACTTAAGATTGTTGTTCTTTTGAACTTTCTATTCCTGAAAACAAAAGTATCACAGTTTCCACAGAAATATTAACCAGCACAACTGTTTTCAACATTAGCCCCATTCGGACAGTAATTGTTTCTCATGGGGACGTAAGGTATTTTCAACATTTTTAGGGGCCAGTCGGTGGTTTTATTGCCATCCGAATCCAGAAAGTCTGTGTTTTTCCTCCTACCACCCGTGTAAAAAACTTCCTGCCTAAACTGGACTAGAATGAATCCATCAGAATTTAAATGTACTGTGTACAAGTTTTGTATTTTGTAGTTTTATATTTATTACTATGTTATTACTCTTTTTTTTTCCTGCCCACCCAATCTTGGTTACGTCAACAAAAAAGTCATTACAGATGGAGAAATGTACTACGTTTTGATGGAAAAATTATGAAAACTAATTTTTTTCTTTAGAATATTTAGTAGTCATCAGTTGTGCATAATAATGCCAATCATTTTCTGATTTCAAGCTCAAGTTTTTTTTTTATCCAACCTAAAGTTCATAAATGATTGATATCAACAGTAAGAGATTGAATAATTACTAAAAACACAAACAAATCCCACCTTGAAGTGCAATGGTTTCTTGGAGGTGAAACACTGGCAGGATGTGGCCTGAAGGTGGCATTGTTATTTTGGAGCCACTGTTCACCAACACTAACTGAACGAAGGCGGAATGGTGAGCCCTGGGGAGCAGAGAGAGAGAGAGACCACCATTAGTCACAGAATGACGCACTGCAGGTTATATTACAGCTGCGAACACTACAGTACAAACAATGCATCAGTGCAGCAAACCTGTGAACTGTTATATGCATTAAGGCTAATACATGACACAATACATCAACAAGCAAGATGTTTAAAACTATGCAAGCAATCTCAAAATATGCAGATCACAATATTTTTTGCATGATTTTTCATCCTAGTGCCAAGCATGTGTTCAGACAAAGAGAACACAGTGTCCTCAACTCCACTAGATGGCACTGCAATACCATCCACATTTCTTGTGTGCGGAACAAAGCCCACAAAAACAACATGTGCATGTCACTCCCATTTCCAGTGCGAAAACACAGAACGCCTTTGGGACCATGTGGTGCTTTGTATGTCCTGAAAGCCTCAGAGAAAACGTTGCATAACCAATCCATTACCTATAAATACTGCCAGCAAAAAGCCCTCTTTTAAGACATCTGTGCTGAGATTTCTCCAGCCTTGTAGATGATAACGGAAACAGTTAATCAAAAAAAAAAAAAACACACCTGTTTGCTCTGGTGAACTGTGAGAGATGGAGTCCAATGACAGGACACAGGAACAGACACTGGTTTGCTCTGAGTCACAACCTGAACGGGTGGAGGAGCCAGAGGAATGGACATCAACATATTAAACAATCATCCACGTTTGTTAATTTATGGAAACAACGTAAAAAAAAAAAAAAAAAGATAAGCTACATTCTCCGTAAACCAAACCCTAATACATTATTTTATTAGGTTTTACAATGTACCTTGCGTTTCCTTGCCGTTGGCTTGTTGAACAACATTTGGTCTAGTTCCATGTCCAGGCCTTCATCGACGAGAAGGGCGCTCTTGTCCATCTCTGCGATGGGTGGGGATGGGGCGGGGCTTCCGTTTCCATGGTCGCAGCTCCAATATCCACCATCAGACAGTTCGCCACCACCATTTTCCATTCCACACAATGCTAATACAAACAAAAATAACAGAGGTAAATCAAAACGTAAATGTCCTTTAAACCAGTGGACAAGTGTCCAACATGTTAATTATGAAAAAAAAAAAAATCTTAATTATATAAATATAATATATTTAAGTATGGTATAATACAAATTAATTAAATAATTTATACTACATAAATGCAATGCACAATAAATTATAACGTATAAATACACTACTGTTTGGGGATCAAAGATTTTTTTTAGAGAAATGAATGCATTTATTGAGCACAAATGCCTTAAGTTGATCAAAAGAGACAGTAAAGACATTTATAATGTTATAAAACATTTCTGTTTCAATTAAATGCTGTTCTTTTGAATTTTCTTTTCATTTAGATTCTTGAAAAAAAAACAGCACAACCATTTTCAACAATGTTTTTTGATTTCTGAAGGAAATGTGACACTGAAGACTGGAGTAAAGGCTGCTGAAAATTCAGCTTTGCCATCAGAGGAATACATTCAATTTGAAAATATATTAAAACAGAAAACATTTTTCAAATTGTTACAATATTTCACAAAGTTACAGTTTTTACTGTATTTTTGATCAGTATTGATCAACATTTTATTCAGAAGTTTCAAAATTTCAGTTAAGTCTGGTTTATTCTGGTTAGAATCTTTCAGGAGTGATTAAAAATTATGATAAGCAATCCTGTACTAGCTCCTTCGTTTAGACTCCGTTTTACTAATGAAAACAGTTTGTGCAGTTGTTAGAGATTTCTTCTTGGTGACTAACACCTATCTTAGCGAGTGCTGAGTAATCTCAGCTAGTTTATGCCGGATTTGTGCATTGCATTGCTGCTTGCAACTTTTCGAAAAATAAACATTAATGTAATGTTCTAGTTCTACTAACCTTGAGTTGCGCTCCCTGGAGCCGAGTGTTGGATGACTGGACTGCACGACAGACTTGTAAGCACCATTGCAGCCATAATCTCATCCATGTCCACTGTCTCTGGACTCCTGCAGTGTCGAAGTAGAGTTATAAAGGAGTGTTTTTGATTCAAAAGGTCAGCATTCGTCATTCAGACAACTATAACAAGACGTACCTTCTTGGCACATCAATGGACGAGGAGACTGAGGAGGTAAAACTGGACGTGGGTCTCGTCCACACATCTTCCAGCTTGCGATGAACATGCTGGTTGAGCTGTGGCAGGAAGATCGACACTTCATTGTCCACGTGGTTATGCTGTTCGACCACACCTCCACATTCTTGGCCGCCGCAGTGCACATACACCTGAAACATATCAGGTAAAACACCATGAAGAGGCTGAGCACACCATTGTTGACATTGTGTACCACACCTAAATGAGAATACCATTCATATAAATAAATATAGATAAAACCTACCTTCTGTCCCGGGTAAAGCTTGCTTCTGTGAAGCCCACTGTCCGGGCATCCATGGGGTCCCGTTTCTGTCAGGCCCTCCGCTGAGGAACCACACACCAGGGTGCCCAGTGGGGACCGTTTCCCAAGTCTGGTCTTCGGTACCATTTTCTGTTCCTAGCACCTTGTATCTTCTCGACTGCTTTGAAGAACTCCTGATGGAGATTCAGCAGCGCTATTCAAACGACGAACAGCAAGCTGATAAGAGGAAACCAAAAAAAAAAAAAAAAAACATTACTTTTTGGGCCACTCAGCACATTTTATTGGCAGAAAGAGAGCCCGATGTTCTGTAGATAGCAATTTTGTGTACGTCTCATTTGGTGGTTTTATTATGCCCAAAAAAATTATCTCTATTTGGACACCCTGCTCTCTAGATATCAGTATCAGCACTAGAAATTGACAAACCAAATGGTCGACCAAAAGTTCTAACCAAACAAAAAAAGTATTTATGACATAAAATCATATTTAATACATATATAGTCTATGATTTAATTATATATCTAAACGTGCACCATTACAAATGTATTACATTTTCATTTACAAATTCGGGAAAAAATGAAAGACAGGACACTGGTGTATGCATGTACAAAATATTAGTATTAGTCGCAACATTGTTGTCACCTGTTCAATCTGATCAGTGAAATCACCAACCATCCTTACGTGAAACATCCGGCAACTAAGTGTCAAATGGTTAAGACATCACAGGACGAATGATGCAAAATTTGAAGTTTACACGCAACTGTGCACAATGACTATGAGTCATTGTCAGCACAGAGCGAACCAGGCAAAAACTACTTTAAACTGACGCAAGTCATAAAACTGCTATGGTCATGCTAGGCCCTCTAACCTCAGTATGTTCACCCAAGAGTTTAGCAGAGAAATTGAGCATTATTACCAGCTGCTGTCAAGTATTAAGTTTCCTCTGTTCCAGTAAAGGATGATTCAGAGTAATTGTAACTGATTGAAGTGAAACATTTCCTTGGTTGCCAAATACTACACATTTGACAGCATGAAAGAGAGAATACTTCTTGCATTTTTTTATTTGTATTATGTATAAAGTCGTAATAATAAAGGTGAATGTGCTTCATCCAAAATGTTAATATCCTGTAAACCAGTGGATAAGAGCTAGAGGTTAAAAAGTAAAGACATAATTGGCACTAAAGATTTCTTAAAGAATAACTTTCATTCAAACATCAAAGAATCCTGAAAAATTTCCACAGTTTCTGTGTTTTCAACTCTTGGTATTAAAATAGCTGTAGAACTGGTAGGCTATTAGACAAATGAATAACAACCGAGCAGAAAAATACTGTGCAACCCATTAAAATTACTTGATATTATGTTATATGATTTACTTTATATTGTGTTTTGACCTCTTGTTGACATGTCAATGTTGCACAATATGCAGTAGTTAGAATGTACAGTATCCAAAGCAGATGTGAACGATTCAAATTTTACTGCTAGTTTTTTGAGTAATAAGAACTAACTTATTTTTTCTCGATTGTGAATTTATTTTTTCATCCATCCTGCATCAAAATCCGTTTTCCTTTCGTAAAACTGTTAAAAATCGCAGTCTAATTACATATGAGTGATTATAAAAGTTGAAGAAAATAAAATGTGTCTGACTTAATGGTTTTGGTACACGAATGCACATTCAGAACTAGCGATAGAACGTTCCATTTATTTCCGCTAATAGGCTCTTTGCAAAGAACCGGTTCAAAAAACGATTCGGCAATTACGTCATAGCGTAATACGTCATAGCGTGTTCCCTAAAACACCGGCGTGGCATATTACATGTTTCTAAAACATTCCCAAGACGCCATGCAGGCACGTAGCGCTATTTATTTTAATGAAGGTGATTACTGTGATTTAATCTATCCCATTCGTTCTGTTAGAGTCATGTTCAAGAACAAAGTCAGTAAGAACTTATAACTTAAGTTTGCATTGAACAATCTCAGGGTTGATACGTTTTTGCACGTTTTATTTAATAAACAAACTCTGCCTTGTATAAACTTACATACAATCATAAACGTTTTATTTGTAACATTTCCGCTGTTTGGCTATTAAAACAACTCGTGTCGGACATGTTCGAAAGACAGCCAGTCCGATTCATTCACGTTCAGACCGGTTTTGTGAACCGGCTCAATCAATTCATTGAAGATACATCGAACTCAAAAGAACCGTTCGTTCAGGATTCGCTTGTTCAGAGCATTAATAGCAGCGTTTGAGTTGCTCCCCACATGGCGACGCGACTAGAACGCACAGCAGATTATCCATCTAGTATTAATTCAAAACGTTAAATGCTGTCTTTGCAAAACTGACCAGCATGTAGCAGCTGGACAGTTAATCTCTCCCAATGCGAAAAAGTTCGTTTTTGCAGATTTTAAGGACGAACTTTTTCCCAGTTATTCTCGGAAACTGTTTTTTATAACATATGCAAAAGTTCAGTTGTGTTGATATTGAATCAGTACAGAACAACTAACACAATCTTTCTCCTAAAAGGTTTTAAATCGAAGCACAGCATCGCATAAACAAGTATCAAACAACCAAAAGCCTTTTCATATTAATTCACTATAATAATGCACTAACCTCAATGGCACCAAACAATGCAGTCTTGATTGAGAAGCATACAGAGCAACGATAAGACACGAATGCATTTAAACAGAGGGAAAACTTTCAATGAACGCTGCGCACGTACCTTTGCCAAATTTCTACACACCCCCTTTCCACAAGGCTCGCTCTGACCGGCTGTAACTTGAAAATGTCCTTTTTCAGAGCCCAGATCGGCTTGCGTTTAGGTATTCAAAATCCCGGCCTGGATTTTTACGGTTACACGTAACTGTACATGTTTGATGAAGCACCAAGACCGTAAGAACACCACTATTAAAGCGGTCTACTCTAATCTACAGTGTTCACTTTACATGCCATAGATGAGGCGAGCTTCTGTTTGATTTAGTTTGAATCCACATTGCTTCCGTCTTCACAGAGATGAGCCGTTCCAGCATAATCCGGTGCCGGGTTTTCCACTCAGCGCCTTCTAGCGGGCTTCTGCTCTTGTAGTAAACAACCTGACCATGTGGTAGAGATGTCGACGCTCATTGGCTAAACACCGCTTTCCAAGACACACGCCCTACAATTCCAACTTGTTTACGCAGAAGTTGAGGAAAGGTCAAGAAACACAATGGACACACATAGCGCACTGTATTTCATGTACTCCCACACCACTTTTATTTAAACTCTGCGGCTTTGCATTGCTCCTGTAAAATGCATTTAAACAGGAATGCAGAGAAACAACGTGCAAATGGCTACATACTGTGCAAATAATGATTTAAAACGCGATCTCCTGCATATTTGTTATATTTCTATGCTTTTTATTTCATGGCATGAAGTGTGCATTAAAACTGCAATAATTTAACAATCATATGTGTGCAAAGTGCAGGATTTGTTTCTGTGCATATGTGTACATCGTGTTCCTTGTAACTCGTGGCTGGTTGATGTTGCACTGTATGCATTTCCTTATAGGATTAACCTTGGGGTCATGTTTGACTTGTTTTCAGTAAAGAATATGCTATAAATATATGCTGTTATAAAATATACAACATGAAGTGATTCAAATGCAAAGATTTGGCCAGAGTTGTCTTCACGTTTTTGAATAACTCAAATTGTTTTGTTTAAAAAATATTAATTTCTGTTTCTATCATAATGTGCTTTGGAATCAGAAAATACACAATTTTCAAAGGGGGGGGGGTCTAATAACAAACGAGAGTCAATGGTTTGCTATGAGAGGGTTAATCTATATGTTTACCTAACAGCAAGTATGTTGTCTTTAAATGTACAACAGAAAGCATCTTAAGTTCTTAAAGGGGGGGGGTACAATGCTGTTTCATGCATTCAGAGTTGTTTACACCAGTGTTTCTCAACCAGAGGTCCGTGGACTCCTAGTGGTCCTTGACGTAAGGCCAGGGGGTCCGTATAAAGTATGAATTTTTGTATAAATTTTGTATATTTTGACATGACATGTTCCCATGAAAGAAAAATCCAATATAGCTGATGATATGGCCAAATACTGGACAAGTCAGCTAACTTGAATTATACTTGACTGCATTTGGTCCTCACAAAGACACAAATGATACATAGATGAGTCAATTTTGTTCTGGGGGTCCTTGAGGATGGTTCTGAATTGGACTGGAGTCTGGTATGCCAAAAGGTTGAGATTCACTGGTTTACACTGTTAAAGAATGCTCATTGCTAAGCATGGACCGTTTCAAAAAACAATTCTCGTCACTCTTTAGCCCCGCCCACGGCGCGCCTCCAAGAGCTCGGCTTTTTCCGGAGAGAATCGTAAAGCTGTGTCTTTCTTTTATAAATATGATCAAACTAAAGACTTTTTGGAGATATGAAGGATGCAGTTCGACTCTATAGGTACTCAAGATTAACATGAGATTGGGTGAAACTGTGTGTGTTATGCCCCCTGTACGTTCAGTAGCTGTTTTCTTTCTTTCCTTTTTTCAGTAGCTGTGCTTTCTAAAGGGGGAGGATATGAAAAGGTTACATAATACGAACTTTCCCAGTCCGGTGGCATCGCTGTGACGCAGCTCCCCACGCGCTGCGCTCGTGCATCAGTTGAGGCCAATGATTGCGTACGTGCGCGAAAGCACATACACGTGCTACAACGGTTCTGTACGTCGGTCAGAGGTCCTGGTGCGTTTCCCAAAGACTGCAAGAACAGGCGTCACGTGAAGAGGGGCTTTAAACCTGACAGTATTTTTTTTAATTGTTATTTTATTTACTCACCATCGAACGTGAGTATTAAGCGTTACAGAAAATAGGTCAAATAAATAGGTTTAAATATATATATATATATATAGTAGGGTGACCATACGTGCCATTTTCCCAGGACGCGTCCTGGCCAGGATTTGTTTTGGCTTTGTTTTCCTGTTTCCATGCTTGCTGAAGGTAATGAGTTATATAGCCTGTATATTTAAAGGATGTTGTCACTTCCACGATTTTGACGTTTTGGCAGCTACGTGTGACTAACAAATAGACAAATGTGTTGATAGGTTTATGATAAATGCATGATGCAAACTTTTTGTGCCGCGTGATTTTTATATTTTCACAGTGTATTAGTATTTGTGAGTATATTTAGAAGCAAAACAAAAACATTTAATTACACGCATTAAGAATTTATTAGATAAGGCATGCAAATTTAAGATCTTGTAACATCAATAAATCCAAATCATGCTTAGCATTTAAGTAGCAGGTTGATTCATGAGATTTCACTAATCTTTAAAGAACTGGTTACAAACAAAAGGCCCACTTGAACATGAATCAAAACACCCTCAATAATGTTTGGTGAGACAGAAACCCCAGGCATAAGACATTAATAAATGTAACATTGTCACAATGTAAGATTCTGTGGTAAATGCCCCTGTAGTGAATGCATCCTTTTATGTTATCTAATATTTGATATATTACATATTATTTTACTTTAGATCTAGTTATGAGTTCAATATAGTTTCTGTTTAATATAAGGGTCAATGACAAAAAAGGATGTCATAAGTTACAAAAAGAAACTGTTTAAAACCATGTCCTTATACAAAGTTCATAGAAATGCATGTTGGTTTCATACATGTATTTTTTATTTTTTTTAAATGTCTACAAAATGTTTGACTCATTTTCTTTTCTTCAATTTTCCAAGGTCACAAATATTTGACAAAAATCATGCATCCGAGTCATTAAAATGGTTTCTTGCATGTTGTTTGCACTACTCAGACTTTAATTTAGCAGAGAAGTATCAAAAATCATAATACAATTGTCTCCCTGCTTCTTATTTTTAAAGAAAAATATTTCAGATCTAATTATTTCAAAGATTATGTAAGAATTTCAGCCTCTAAATGCCTTCACAAAAGTTCAAAAAGTAAGAAAAATAAAAGCCCAAATACTATGGAGCAAATATTTCCCTTAATAAAAGAATAAAGTCAATCTCACCAGAACAAGAGGGTTAATTCTAAAGCATCTGTTACTTTAATTACATCATTCATGCCCACTGGAATTCATACATTTGTTCAAAACCTAAAAGTAATCACTAGTATGCTGCTATTTAAATCCATAAACTTAAACGTATACAGACCAGTTGATCTGAGAGATAAAGTCTATATTGCGCCCCTACTAAGAATGAATATGAATACAGAATAATTTCACAATACTGGACTTCATTAGAAAAAGATTAAAAGGAAAACCTTCATTTTTGTTTAGGTCTCTTTGGTAATGATGCCGACACTTCCCCCTCCTCTTCAGATGGAGATGACACCTGATTTTCTTGTTTATGTTGCATTTAATCTGTGGCCACCTGAATAGAGATCCCTATTTGTCAAAACAGGTGTGGCCAGAAGATCAGGCTCCCTCCCCTAAGGGACACTGACCATTCTTGTCTGAGACTGTCTGAACCATTGCATAAGGATTCAGCTTTGAATCAGCCCAGTCAATGCTGAGGGACCGATCGGGGGGCTCCTATAGTTCCTATAGTCTCAAAGTTTGATGGGCACTTATGGGAGTCAATGCCACAAAGCAGGACCTCAGCCTGGCTTCAGAAGGATACAGAAACCATTTATCTCCAAATAGTGAAGGGGTTTGTTTAGTTTGAGCATTTGAGGTTGCATAATAAAGATGGTGGAGCTCTCTGCAGGCATTCAAAGTCGGTGGTGTTTCGCCTACAACAGCGACTCCACTTTTGTCACCTGAATTAAAAAAATAATAAGAAAGGTACTTATATGTTTGTATTGTCATGTGAAATTTCACTCAAAGAGTATTTTAAAAGTAGAACAGGGTCATCCGAAGTGCTTACACTTTCTCAGAGAGCTTGAAGTGTTACCGAACCCTCTGTCGCTGTCCCAACCCCGCCATTTATTTGAGGTTGTAGGCTTGAACCTGGAGAAAGCACAGATATATTCATACGTCAGATCATCCTGTGTGGTGAGAAGTGAAGCAATTTCACTGGGATTAAATGCCTTTTTTGTCCTGGAGAGACATACCGTGAGTGAGAGTGTGACTTCTCCACGGTCTGTACGCAACGTCACCCTCCACAGCCTCTAAACCTTCAAAGACGAGATTAAAGAGCATCTGCTGAGTGGGGTTGATAGCATTGCTAAGAGATAAACAGCTATTCAGATTCAAAAGAAATTCATAGTCATTGACAACTCAGTTTACCGATTTCATCTTCTGTGATGTCATTAGCAGCAGGGTTTTGTCTGGCACCTCTTGAATCATCCATTTTTGCCTGTTCAATTGAGTTTTGCAATTGAGCACAAGATTTACATCACATTTATATGATAGTTTATAGAAACACTGCAATATACTAAATACAAAACAGTAATATTGTATAGAAATATTTTTACAATTTCAAATTACTTTTATATTTGAATATATTTTAAAATGACATTTAAAAAAAAAAATTAATTAATACTTTCATTCAGCAATGATGCATTAAATTGATCAAAAGTGACAGTAAAGCCATTTCTAATGTTACCAAAATAAAATAAATGCTGTTCATGGAACTTCTATTCATCAAAGAATTCTGAACAAAATGATCACCGTTTCCACAAAAATATTAAAACACCAAAAAGTGTTTGGAACATTGACAATAATAAGAATCATTATTAATAATTGAGCACCAAATCCGCATATTAGAATGATTTCTGGAGGATCATGTGACTCTGAAGACTGAAATAATGGCTGCTGCAAATGAGCTTTGCCGTCACAGGAATAAATGACATGTTAAAATATATTCAGAAAGGAAAGTTAGTTTTTAATTTTACATTTTGTAATAATATTTGACAATATTACTGTTTTTATTGTGATCAAATAATAGCAGTCTTGGTGATCATAAAATTTAAAAATCTAAATTATATAATAATTATTCAAAATCTTTGGCTGCCAGTGTATGTGTTTGTGGAAAAAAAATATTTCTATATAAATAATAAAAAATATGATTTTTTAAAATAGTTTATTCATGTGAAGCAAAGATGAATTTTCAGCATCATTACTCCAGTCTTCAGTGTCACATGATCATTCTAATATGCTGATTTATAATCAGTGTCAGAAACAATTGTGCTGCTTAATATTTTTAGGACCGGTTTCAGGATTCTTTGATAAATAAAAAGTTAATAAACAGTGTCTATTCAAAATAGAAATTGTGTGTTACAATATACACTACTATTCAAAAGTTTGGGGTCAGTAAAATTTTTTTTTTTTTTTTTTTTTAAGATATTCATACTATTCATAGATATTCAGCAAGGATGTGTTAAATGCATAAAAAGTGATAGTAAAGGCTTAT